ACACACACACACACACACACACACACACACACACATATATATATATATATACAAACACACACACATTCGTACACACCACATTCTTAAACCTCCCTATTTTTATAGGCAGACCGACCATCCTCCCGAAATCGAAATGACGGAGGAAGTCAAAGTATGCTCACATGAGTAAAATGAAGGCTGAAAAAATAAATAAAAATAAAAATAACAGCATAAAAATTAAACAAACCCCAACCCCCTTCGTAAAAAAAAAACAACCAACAACCCCTTTTAAAAAAAAAACGAATTTAACTTGAGCTGTAACACATGTTAAAAGAAATTGGCGACGCGCGTGAAACACTGTTAAGGGAAGAAATTGTGCAAAAGACCTGTTTAAACGGGTGCTCTTTAGAGATGTTAATTGGATGGAACAAACCCAAACATGCCTTGTTGCGTTTTTTTTTACCAAGCGACTTTTTAACACCGAAGCACGTCTTACCGGTTCTTAACAAGTCCACTTGTCACACCTCAGCCGTTTTGCGTGTGCCTCCCAACTTCCTGGGCACGTGCCGTGAGTGCGCTAGACGCCTTCTCGTGACGCATTTTATCCGCTAGCAAAATAGGAGGTGCCATGGAGATAGGATATTGAGATCAGAAACGTGATTTTTGCAAGCATGTTATAGTTATAGAGTTAAAGCCTCTCCTCCCAACGCACGAAAACGCCAAGGACATACATAACGATGAGTACACTCTTACAAATGCACGCACACAAACACGCGCGCTCGCTCACACTCACTTACTCAAGTGCGCGTGCATGCACACACGTGCCTGCGCAGGACAAGTGAGATGAAGATAAAAAGGAGGGAGAGAGGATGCACGCATAGATTCACACGCATGCGAGCACACACACACACACACGCGCGCGCGCGCGCGCGCAAAGACTAAAACACAAACAAATCATTATACGAACAACACACTTTCAAACACACACATGCACGCTTGCACGACTTTAACATAATATCTATTTTTACTAGATCTAGATTTCTATATCTATTCTCGCCTCGTTTTTGTCGTCTCAACTGAAACCAGCACCATCCGTGTTTTGACCGTGCCATGATTGGCTACCTGGTCACATGTGGACTCGGTGAGTTCTGTCTGAAGACCAAATGGGTTCTAAGCAGGATGGATATATTTTGGGCCGACAGTGGAGAAAACGCGTTTCCGTTTGTTGGTACTGACTTTTTAAAAAAAAATGGATCCTATAGGAGGATGTTAGTGATAAATGGGAATTTCCTTTTTTCTTTAAATTAAAAAAGGACCGAAGAACACCATCAAATACTAGATCTAGTTAAAACGGCAAATCTTTTCAGGAGAGTGGGTAGGAATGGTAGTGGCTACAGGGAATTCTTTTCTTTTCTTTTCTTTTCTTGAGGGATAGGTAGAAAATACACTACATATATATAATAATATAGCTTACACCGTTCTCAGGCGACTTTTTCTTCATAATATTGGCCATTTAGAAATAACTTTTTAGGAGAGAGCTTGCCGGGGCAGGCCTCGGACATTGGGAGACTTTGGACACGTCAATTCTCGTAAAACTATTGATAGTTACACTTTGACACTGGATCACATATTATAATGTCTCATATGAGGTTTAGAGCTTATATTATGTTTTTGCCGCCTCACTGCTCAGAATCTTGCATCTGTTGTGAAGGAAATTATGTTTTTGACAAGGGTGTATCTAAGTTTCCGCTCCTCAGTTTGTAAAGTTTGCACGTCACAAGTGCACCGATCCTTCCACTAAACCATGTACATGTACTTTAGGGTGTCTGTTACGTGCAAAATTCATAAAATTAAACCAAACTTTCATGATGTATGTTTCATGAACATGTTTCCTCCGCTAACACTACCCTCAGGAAGGGATATTTCATTCAGCCTCCCACTCTCCCCTATATTATTATAGACGCCATATGCATTTATATACAAAAGAATAACTGATTGATTGAGGTATTATTTTACGTTCACTACCGTCTCATGCTCAGGCAATATAGCTCTTTTCTCATCCTCTTCTATCTGTTTTTCTCGAATATTGACATTATAATATTATTCGCCGCAAATAAATATTTTTTGAAATATTTGATAGCTTTTACAGGAACTATAGCACACGCTAAACCTAAATGTGTAGTAATATCCGTGTTTTGAACCAATGGATGAATCGGGGGTTTCGGTACGGGGTAATTGGGGGTGGGG